TAAAACAGTCCCAGGCATCCCAAGTGGACCTAGCTTTTTGGAGTGTTCCTCAGGCAGCACCTCCAAGAGAAGTATCCTCAACCTTTGAAGGTGCAGACAGAGGTGCTAGGCCCCATGGTTTGTTCAACTGTACCATTGGTTAGGATCGGGGTTGAGACTTCAACTTCTGATAGATTGAGTTACAGGACCTGGGCTCATACAAACAAAGGGACACGAGATGCACTGTACAAACATTTATACACACACACACACACACACACACACATTCATATATACACACTGTATACATCCACTGCTTCAGAAGCAATGCTCAGGGGACAGCTCTGAGCCCCCAAGAAGGGACGCATCTTAAGATATGGAGTCTCTGACTCTGTTTCCAACCAGTTGATGGCAGAACACAGGCTGAGGGGAGCTATGGCATGGGGTATTCAATCCCAGAAGGAACCCCAGTCATGTTTAGAGGGTCATCAAAAGCCTCCTGGGTTTACAAGTGTCTGAGAACCACTTGTATCCCATTAGCCCAGGGAAGAGCTTTGTGATTGCCCAGAACACATAGTGAAGACAGAAAGAGGACTATAGCTTTGTAAATTATGAACCGTCTCAAGGAAAGGGGAGCCACCCCCAAAACGCATAGAACAAAACCAACCAAATCAGAAGAGCAATGACCACAGCTTAGAGCTTGAGTTCAGCAACTTTGTTCTCTAATAAGCAGCTGCAACAATTCTGGATACTTGGCCTAAACTTCACAGAGCCTAGTATCTGCTCAAAGAGTTCATGCCGATGGAGAGTGGAACTAAACACCAATAGTCAGCGGAAAGACCAAGAGTGGTGCAGACGTGGCGCTTGCTGGCCAGTCTAGGAAAGTAGTAACACTGGGTCAGAGCATATGGACAACCACGGGCCATCGCTGTAAATCCCTCGCCTGTAGACAGGGATGCAGAAAGCAGTGGGATCCGGGCCAACAGCTTACACTATAGGAAGGCAAGAGCGGTGTAGAGGCCCACAGAGGGGTTGTAACTGCAGGCCACTGAGCAGCAGAAGGTGACGTTGACCCTGGGGTGATACCACGGTACTCAGCTGTCACCTAGGTGCAGTGGAGAGGCTATGACTGAGATGGTCACGGGGCTCAGTACCCTAGAAGACATTATCTTGTGAAGACCACAGATGCTCTACAATTAATTCCACGACGCTTTGCAATTGCTAATCCACATTCTTGCCAGAACTTGCCAGGCCATAGAACTTCTTGCTGAGGAAGTGCTGGCTTGGTCTTCTGTGACCTCCAAGTCCTTTCCCTGATCACGGTCTTCTTTGTCTCAGCATCTTTGAGTGCCAAGGCCTCCCCATTGTGAACGGGCAGTGCGACCCTTACGCCACAGTGACATTGTCCGGACCCTTCAGGCAAGTTGTCTTTCTGACATCTCTCCTGCCTGGGTTGCAGTTCTGGGTTGGGGGCACGGGAGATGGCCAGGTCTAGCTCTGGAGATAAGAGGTTGCCTCCCCCTTTTTCAGCGGGGTGGGCATGGTGCACTTAGAAGCAGAATGTGTTGTGTAGATTTATTGCGGTGAGGTCTGTTTCTCGGAAAGCCTTAGCGAGCTTCATAGTGGGTATTTTGGGCTCAGTAAAGGTCCCTGTTTTACATACCATCTGGAGGTGGAGACAGACGATGCTTGGGAGATAAACAAAGGTAATAAACAACTGTGCATTTGACAGCTCGGTTCCAGACCCATCTGGAGCCCACCAACTCTTCCTTTCTCCACCCCAGGTCTGAAGCAAAGAAGACGAAGGTGAAGAAGAAAACCAACAACCCCCACTTTGATGAGGTGTTTTATTTTGAGGTTGGTGCTTCGGTGGGAAGAACTTTGAGCCTTGGCACCAAGACCGTGAGCAAGTCTCAATCCGAGCCACCTGACTGTCTCAATCTGAGCCACCTGACTGTCTCAATCTGAGCCACCTGACTGTCTCAGGAGCTGTCCAGGCCCAGCCCAGAGATCCTCAGATCTGGATGGCATTTGAATTCCTGGTCGTTTTCCTCCTCCTCAGGAGAGAAAAGCCACATGTTTCTTCCTGAACCAGTTGGCTCACGCTGGAAGGGGCAGATTGATGCTGTCCCGGCCCCCCAGGACTCGGGGTTGGGTTGTTTGTTTGGCTTTGGGGCTTTTGTTTTCCTGGCTGCTCACCACAGCTTCCCCAAGCAGGGTGAGGTTCCTTTCTCCGGAAATGTGAGGGTTTGAGCAAAAAGGGGAAATGATTCAGCCCAGAGCACCCTGGGGCCTCTTAGAACTAGAGCAGGTTAGTCAAGAAGGGTGAGGCTGGAGCCTGCTCGAGGCAGCGGGTTGCCTCTCAGCCTTGGTACCTTCTGTTTATTCTTTGGCACCAGATTCTGGGAGAAGGGAGATAGGGGACGGGCAAGACCCCAGTTCCCATCTTCAGAGCCTGCCACATGGCGCGAGAGAAAGGCAAAAATGTAGGTGTCATAAAGCCCCATGTTATAATGGGCTGTAGACCAGCATTGTGCCCAACATCTGGAATTCTTGCACTCAAGAGTCAGAAGCAGAAAGATCCTAAGTTAAAGGACAGCCTGGTCTACAGCAGAGCAACTTCCATACCAATGAGTGTTAAATAGCTAGGCCTTAATTAAGAAAAAAAATAACTAGAACTTGAGAAATGGTTCAGTAAAGTATTTGCCATGCATGCATGAAGACCTGAGTTCAGATCTCCAGAACCCGCCTAAAAATCTAGGTATGCCGCCAGTGCACACCTGTAATTCCAGTTCTTAGGGTGAGGAGACAGGTAGATCCCTGGAACTCATTGGCCGGCCAGTCTGGTCAAATCAGTGAGTGTGGATTCAGTGAAAAGGACCCTGACTCAAAAATAAAAATGGGGAAAGTCCGACATCAGCTTTGACCTACGCATGTGCCAAGTGCACACGTTATGAAACAGACCCACAAACCCGGTCAATAAAACATAGAAGCCGCCCAACTTTGGTGACACGGAGACCTGCTGTAGGGCCGAGGAGAGCAGGGCTTCTCAAGTGTGGAATCTTGAAAATCCTGAGCAGAGCTTCCATCCTGAGACTGCTACTATCAGGGCTGTGGGGTGCTGGAAATCTTCATGGACAACAGTGCTTGGAATCGAGTTAGAACAACAGACAGTCTTCAGAACCAGCCCTAGGCAAGGTTGAGACAGGGAACAAGAGGCCTGGAGGCAGGTCTGCGACCTGGAGGGTGCTGGGGGAAGTGGTGGGGAGTAGTTGTGTTCTGTGCAGCTAGGACATCCTTGCCATACAGGCAGGTGGAGATGTCACAGAGTGGGGCATGACACCAGGGCCTCAGCAGCTCTCCCGGGAGGCAAGAACTTGTGGTTATAAAATGTGAGCGTTTAGTAGGAACTGAAAATTAAAGCCACTAGGCTGGTACAATGGCACGAGTGTGGACAGACTCTCCTGACCCCGAATCTATTCTGGTGACACACTTATTCCTACCCTGTCTCTACTGGGTGAGACCCTGCATCTCTGGGCTGTGTGTGTCTAATTTGCTCGCTAAAGACTTGAGCTCCAGCCCATTGGATTAATTCAGTGTCCTGGAGAACCTTGAGAACCATGTTGTGGGGTGCTTGCCAGACTTCCAAAGGCAGGTGGGGCCCCTTCTCCTCCCAGTCCCTGACTTGAGATGCTGCTGTTGGTCTGTCAGTCCTGCGACTCAGCAGCCACACCCAGTTAATACGACTTACCCGTGTTCTTTATCACTGTTTGACTTAAGTTGGGGACAGACTTGGGGGTGGGGCTCAGAAAGAAAGTAAACAATCTGGCTGACTGTAACTCCTCAAAGGTTCATGTTTTGGTAGAAGGCAGCTTCCAGGTTGCTTTCTTCCTAGATTTACCTTAGATCCTCCTTGTTGGGGAGAGAGTGATGGGATACCTGGAGCCTGCCTGGGCCATGCTTCCCTGAGATTCACTGTGGGCTGTACCACCATCTTGAGTGGGACAACAAGAAGGCAGTAGGGGCAGGGTGGTGTGGGAAGATGCCTGTCTGATGATGTGTTTCTGGGAGAATCGGTTGACAAGATGTGGTGTTCAGGAGGGAGGCAGATGGCGTTGGTGCTCACCATTGTCTCACTAGCCAGTAAATTAAAGCACATGGCGTCAGGGACATGAGTGTCAAGTTCTAGATTAGGGCTTGAGGCAAAAAGCCTCCCTCTGATCCTTCCAAAGGCCCCCCGAGGGAGGCAATGTTGCTCGTACACTACTGTGGTCAAGGAAGAGCCAACTCCTTGGCCATTGCTCTGAGCCTGAATTCTAGTTCCTACACCTGTGTATTGTTTTTAGATACAGTCTTGAGTATCTCAGGCTGGCTTTGAACTCACTGTGTAGCTGAGCAAACTTTAAATTTCTGATCCTCCTGCCTCCACCTCCTGAGTGCCGCAGTTATAGGCATGAGCCATTAGGCCATGTCAATATGGCACTAGGGATTGAGCCCATTGCCCAGCCGTTCTAAACCATCAGAAGAAAACTGTCAGGCCATTCCTTCAGTTTCCTGACTTCTCCCAGGGTGTAGACTCTGCAGAGTCTGAACTACCAGAAGAGTTGTGGCCTGTCACTATTGCGGGACCTACTATGTGTGTCAGGTTGGACGGGGAGGGAATCCTCCATACCTTCTTATGGGTCACAAGGAAACCATAAGAGTTCAGGTTACTACCCTGTGGGTCTGGCTTCCTGCCTCCTGACATTAGAACTAGAAGCCTTGGGGCCTGGAAGGTCATGAACTCAATGGGTAAACAGGCTGCCTCTGTGTAATGTCCTGTTGTGTCTTGAGAAATTGGCCCCTGCCATGTCTTGATGTGGCCCCAGGGCAAGTTCCTAGTCCAGAAACCCTCACCACCCCCAGCCCACCCGACACGCATCTGTTCTCATGGGCAAGTTGCATGAGAGTCCTCCCTTGGGTTGTGGAATGCCAAGCCACCTGGCATATGTGTCTGACATTATTTATCCCCTTCTAACTCCAGGTGACCAGACCCTGCAGCTACAGCAAAAAATCCCACTTTGACTTTGAGGAGGAAGATGTAGACAAACTTGAAATTCGGTGAGTTGCTCCCGAAGGTTGATAACAAAGGTTAGGAGATATATCACTTAGACAGGTTCCATCCCCCAAACTATTAAGGTAGCCCTGGCACAACAAAACCACAACTGTTTGGGGATGTCATTGCTTATTACCCTCAAAGGTCTAGGATCAGTTTTAGAAACCATGGGGTTTTCCTTCTCATTGATATTGCTCAGTGGGAAAGCCTGTGGGCATCCGACAGATCTCTTCCTCCAGGATATTTTCTAAGCCGTCTCATGGGTCCCTGAGACTTTGGCAACTCCTGTAGAGCCCATCTCCTCTGATGCTACTGGTTCTTTTTGTGTGGATCCTGCATGGGTCTTCCTGCTCTGTTGCTATAGAAACCAAGTCTTCTGTAAAGGTTCGTAGGCACCGCATCCTCCCCCTGTAGATTCCGAAATCCATCTAAGTTGTTTGGGGAGCATGCTGGCCATCAACTGATCAAGCTTACCAGCAGGAGCCTTCAGCCCTGGGCTGGGAGACACCGACAGCCCTCCTGGTTCCCACATACATATGTTCTCAGTGACGCGGCTTCCCTCTTGGTCACATGCGTGTGCGCTATAGGACTGGCAGAGATGACAGAAAGATCAGCCCAGTCTTCTAAGATGTCTCTTCCATAGCAATGCCCTAATACTCAAGGCATGGTAGACCTGTATGAGGTTTGCAGCTCTCTGGCCATGAACCCTGCCGAGTAGTGAGGACAGGTACCATGGGCCCAGCCCACTGTTATCCTGGTGCAGCTTTTTGGCCCCTAATGTGAGGGGAAAATGAGTATTCTCTTGGGGGAAGGGGCATCGTTGAGTGGCTCATCTGCCCCAGAAGCACTGGACACTGCTTGGCTGCAGACTGTGTTGTGGCCGTAGCTCCTTGGGACCCAACTGCAGGCCCTCCGGTGCGTACACAGTATCCCTTGATCATGGTTCACACCACAGTCTAGCGTTTGATGGAGACAGAGGCAGGGCTCTTAAGTTTCAGGAGCAACGCTCTCAGGTGTCCAGTGCCCCTCCCAGGTATAGCCATAATGGGCTATACCCATCTGCCCTGGGTTGTGATTTTGTCTTGTGGACAGCTTCTCAGCCTTATGACACTTCTACTGTTCGTTATGCTGGGCTTAAAGATAAAAGCATGGTACATCTGGGGCAGAGCCAAGGCTTCTGGGGGCCTTAGTACATCTCTAACATCTGCTTAGGGCCCTTGGATTACTCTTAGGTGAAGGGACCCTTGGGCCAAGAATGGGCAGCTTTTTTGGTTGGCTCAGCCATGAGTAGTGACACCAGGAGTTCCCTCCACCAGACTGAACTGGGCGTCCCCGCTGGCTCCCAGACACAGGCACTGCTTGTCCATTGCACTGAGAATCAAAATCTCCGCTCCACCATGCAGCCTGGTTTACCTGCTCTTGGTACAAGTATTTACCCACTCTGAAAACCGAAGGCCTTTATTGCTTGTCCCTCTGGGAAGCAGACTCCCTGCATCCCCTGCCCACTAGGTGGGGCTGCTTTGTGAGAGCTGAATGGCACTTACTCATCTTTTTCAGAGTTGACCTCTGGAATGCCAGCAACCTGAAGTTTGGGGACGAGTTTCTTGGGGAGCTGAGGATCCCTCTCAGAGTGCTGCGACATTCTAGCTCTTACGAAGCCTGGTAGGTGTACATCTCAAGGTATGGTGCTGGGAATACAGCACGGCTTCCACCTGCAGAGCCACTGTGCTAAGCCCACCGTTATCTACCACTCACTACCTGCTCTCACTTCGCTCAGCTCGCTGCCTGGGCTTCTGACCTTACAGTAGGTAACACGGAGCAGGTGGAGGGAAGTGACCGTAAGGCAGTGGTGCTGGGAACCTAATAACAAAGAAGGGTCCAGTTAAGAGCAAGTTTTCTAGCTAAGAGCCGCTTTGGGCATCTGGGAGAACGTGTCAGCACAGTCTAGTGGCTGGCTGGGCCCTGGGTGGCTTTCCTGCTCATCTTGGGTCCCTGGTCAGGGCCAGTTTGCAGGGTGTGTGGGTCTTCATAGGCTCTTCAGACACTGACTTTCTCTGTCTTGGAGCCCACCCAGGTGCTCGGAAAGCTTGCTCTCTGCTTCTTATGCCTTGATTTCTGGTTTACCCCAGACTCTGTGGCTTTAGCAGGGCTGTATCTTCATTTTACTCCATGATTGGTTCCTTAAAGACGTGAAGAGCATGGAGCCCAGTGTCCTGCTGTCCAATGTTCTCTGGTCAGTGTCCTGCTGTCCAGTGTCCCATTGTCTAGTGTCCCTCTGGTCAGTGCCCTGCTGTGTCCTGCTGTCCAGTGTCCCATTGTCCAGTGTCCCACTGTCCAGTGTCCCGCTGTCCAGTGTCCTGCTGTCCAGTGTCCCATGCCAGGTGTTACTCTGAGGGTGCTAAAGTAGATTCCTGTCGCCGGGAAACTGACTTCTACTTCAATAAAGGGGTGTCCACGTAGGTCCCCCTGCTAGCTCCATGGCCAGGTTCTGGGATACAGGGCTCCACCTTGGCAGATGACAAGGCTGGGTGGAGAAGAATGGTCAGTGTGGACTAACAGAAAGAAAAAGGGTGTCAGAAAATACTTCTGTGACCACTGGTCTCCAGCACAACCCAACTCGCTCTTGTGAAAGCCACACACTTGTGTTAAAATGATTCCCATTTGTCTGAGCACTGCCGTGGTGTGAGGCCTATCCTCAGACAGACACTGCTTACAGAGGCTCCTGGCCTCACGTCTGCCTGCTCTCAGCAGCTCATCTCTTGCTTCTCGCCCATTCCTCATTCCTCCTGCTTCAGCTTCCCCTTTGCCTGTAAGTCTGTGGCTCCCTACAGGAAGTGTCCAGGTGGCCATGCTCTGAGATAGCCTGGAGAGCAGCCGTGGAGCCTGTCTTTCGGCCCGAGGCCCACCTGTGACAGCACAGACTCGCTACAGTGGCAGGACGCTGGGCTGCCTTGGAAATGCTCTGGGAAGACCCTGCCTTTACCTGCCGGTCCATGTCCTTCCTTCCTTCCTAGGTTCTTCCTCCAGCCCCGAGACAACGGCAGTAAGAGCCTGAAGCCAGATGACTTGGGGTCGCTGAGGTTAAATGTAGTTTACACAGAAGACCACGTCTTCTCCTCTGAGTACTACAGCCCACTGCGTGACCTGTTACTGAAGTCTGCAGATGTGGAGGTGTGTATCAGCCACATTTACTGGTGAAGGCCCACGTCCAGCGCCACAGACCAGCCCTGGGTACCCACCTGTCAGGCACAGCCACTTCAAAGCATTACCATTGAGCCTTTGCCACCCTGTTTCCAGTACCTGGGGACACCCGTACCCTTTCACTGTACAAGTGACATCTAATTCTCTGCAGTTACAGCTTCAGGAGCCTAACCCACTTAGACTGCGCATTTTCCCAACCCCAGTGCTACTGGATTTGGGGCTTGGTGGGAGGGCTCTTAGGCCACACTCAGAGAATATAGTCAGCAAGGTCCCACAAAAGGTTTTTACACCAGTTTTCAACAGGTGTGGGTTTCTCTGCAAAGTGGGCTATTTAGCAGATGGGAAGGAAGCCACAGAGGGAGTGGGCGGCTCTCTGCAGTGGCCTCCCTGTGCTATCGCACATGTGACCATAGGGTGACGGTCTGGAGTCATCGGGTCCTGACCCATGGGTGGGGCACGACCTGCAGAGGGTGGGTGCTGCCCACATGCTCACTACTCCCACCTCCCCTCTGCCCAGCCTGTCTCGGCCTCAGCAGCGCACATCCTGGGCGAGGTGTGCAGAGATAAGCAAGAGGCAGCCATCCCGCTGGTACGGCTCCTGCTGCACTACGGCAGGGTGGTGCCCTTCATCAGTGCCATTGCCAGTGCAGAGGTGAAGAGGACCCAGTAAGTGCCCCCTGATGCCCAGTCCCTGCATGCTCAGCCTGCTTCCCACCTCCTGCTATTTTCCCTGTACCTCATACAAAGATCCACTCCTGTTCTCTGTATGGTCCACTTGACCTTGCTGCTCTCCCTCCCTACCAATATCCTTGATGGGAAGCTGGGCCCCTGGGTACCCAGTAGGTAGCCATCAAAAGTAGCCATCCTAACCCATATCTGTGCACAGTGTTGGTAGGGAGTGAGGGTGCTAGGGTCTTCAGGAGTTGTGTTTCTGACCCCCCTCCCCACTTCACAGATTTCCTTATTCCTTATCTCTGGGAAATTCAGAGAAGGTAGGGAGAGGCACACTGGACCCCAGGGCTTGAAGGACCATCTCTGTCCACCCTGATGAGCCCAGGTCTCCATTATTGAGTCATAGGGTGGGGTCTACTCCCTGCTGAAACCGCAAGCCCCGTCTCAAGATGCTCTTGATGAAAAATGAGCCAGAGGAAGGTGGCATGGTGATTGGAAGCCAGTTGATACCTGGCTTTGTGCATAAAAAGCCCAAGATTTTTCAAAAGCACCCCTCATAGAGGAGTAGAGGCAGGATCCATCCAGCCCTGAACATCAATAGTTAAGAACTTGTTTGTTGACAGAGGTTTCTGTCCCGCCCAGTCCTGCAGCCATTCAGACCCAAAGAACCACATAGAAGTCTACATTAATTATCAAATTGTTGGCCTATTGGCTCAGGCTTTCTTATTAACTAACTCTTACATCTTACATTAACCCATAATTCTTGTCTGTGTTAGCCAGATGGTTTAGTACCTTTATCAATGAGGCATTCTCATCTTGTTTCCTCTGAGTCTGGGTGACGACTACAGACTGAGCCTTTCCTCTTCCCAGAATTCTCCTACTCTGACTGCCCTGCCTGTACTTCCTACCTGGCTACTGGCCAATCAGCATTTTATTAAACTAGTACAAGTGGAAAATCCTTACAGGGTACAAGGTCATTGTCCCACAGCACTTCTTGAGATAGGGGTATTGAGTTCCTCGTGAGATATCTGGAACAGGCCTGCCAGCATTCATGTCCCCACCTGGTGACCAGGCTCCCTTAGTACCTAAACAAGGCAGACTTCATCCCAATGCTTTTTTCCAGGGACCCCAATACCATCTTCCGAGGAAACTCACTGACATCTAAGTGCATAGATGAGACGATGAAGCTGGCGGGCATGCACTACCTCCATGTGACCCTGAAGCCTACCATTGAGGAGGTGAGATGGCTCTGGCCACTTCGGCATGGTGATCAGGGCTCCTTTGAGAGACAGGACTGCCCAGCCACCCACAGGGACCTCATTTTAGTGGTTTTTATAATGGACATTTTGTATATACTCTAGAATCCTCTTTGCTTTCAGATGGATGGATGGATGGATGGATGGATGGTAGATAGATGATAGATAGATAGATAGATAGATAGATAGATAGATAGATAGATAATCGACAGATAGCTAATAGATAGATAGATAGATGATAGATATATTGATTGATTGATTGATTGATAGGTGATGGGAGATAGATAGATAGATAGATAGATAGATAGATAGATAGATAGATAGA